AGCCTGGGGTGGGGGGGGGCTGCGCCAGGGCCACCGCAGCACAGCTCAACCCCGGATTAGCTCAGAGAAACAAAAATAGCTTGAGGCTGTGACTAAGGCCAGATTTTGGCTCTGATGAGCCAGGATTACTGCGTTGTCCGGGGTGTGTTATTAGAAAGGGAAAAAAGGACTCGCCTTTAGGAGCAGCTCAGCCATGAGAAGGGGGATGTGGCCGTGTCGGAGGCTCAGCGGCGCCCTGCACAGTGACCGGCCTGCCTGGACAAGTGACCTGAGGCCAAGCAGGGAGCAGCTGCGCGGGACAGCCAGGGTTAACTCGCATCATGTATCACTGCAGCTAAAGCCCCTCTCCATGGCAGATAAAGCCGATAACAAACACATCAAACCCGCAAAGCTGGACACTATTTAAAAGTGCCTGGAAGGCGGGTTTGAGCAATTGAAGGCAGGATGCTGTCAGCCAGCTTCATTCCCAGGCATCCCCAGGGCAGATTCCTGAGGCCTTTCTCCTACTCTTCCCAGGCAGCTCCCCTGGGAAGAAAGAGCTGCTGCATCTGAAAGCCCCGATCCAGGTCTCCAGGGCCCCAGGGCCGGGAAAGGGGGATGCTGTCCTTGCTGCCCACAGAGGGCTGCCAGCAGCTCAGAGCTGAGGGGAGCTCCTGGTGCCTTTGGAAGCTGCTTGTCTCTGAGCCGGGGCTGGCTGAGGGGGCTCATTGCTTTGTTATGCATGACGAATCTCGAGGGTAACACCCCCAAGGACAGCTTCTATGGACAAATGACATCCTGTGCCAGCAGGATGGGTCTGGGGGGCCCCTGCTCCAGGTGATCTTGGGGAGGCCTGGGGTCAGGACTGAGCAGGACCTGTCCCTGAGTGGCTGCCAGCAGCTGGCACATGGCACCGCTGCACAATCCCTTCTCCAACGTGCCAGGGCCTTAATCCATCCTAGCACTGGCACATGGACGCAGGGAGGAGCCCAGTTCCCAGGGACACTCCAGCACCTCCAACTGTGGAAAGTGGCTGCAAAATAGTCAGCAAGGACAACAGCCGTGCTCCGAGCCCCAGCTCTCAGTATTCACCTCTTCCAGGGACACAACTCCAGGCAAACGAGAGGCTTTTCTAACTAGGCCCTAGAGGTGGGCAGGGCCCCGCATGGCACCTGAGCACCAGGAGGCGAAGCCCGTGGGGACCACGGG